CTGAGTGAATTATACACCTCTGTATTACAATTAAAATAAAAATTACTGTACGTATGGACTGTACAGTGTAGACCTATGTATTCGAGCACCCCCGCAAATCCTTCAACGCCAGGTGCAGCCGAATAATAAAGAATATGAATCCTACTTCGCGGAAATTCATTTAACGCGGTAGAGTCTGGAACGGATTAACCGCGATAAACGAGAGACGACTGTAATCAAAAACTGATCACCGTCCGGTGGCTTTTGGTGGCTTACAGTTGAATCCCTCTGACATCCGGCCTTTATCCTTGTCTTTTTTACAGTGAAATTGATGACATTTACAGTGACATGCTGCATCTTGATATATGGTGAGATGACACATACGTATATTTTGACTAAGCTTTTAAAGTAACTTTTTCTTCTCAGTATATCTCTTTTATTCATATCAGATGGGCTTAATGCCTGTTTATTGTGACTATTCTCATGACTAAATAAACACAAGGTGTTTATTTTTTTCACAAAGTAATTTCATTTAATTTAAGTTTGACAATAAAGTCAGGAATGGACCTGATATTGGATCAGGGAGCGTTCCAAAGCCCTCTGACGGGGGCTGCCTTTCGCAGGGATCATGATGACGATGTGTCTGTGGCTGAGGCCTGCAAAAAGCTCAATGAAGTCAGTGGACTGAAGGGCATGGGAAGGTATTTATGAGCCATTCTAAAGACACCGTGCCACAGGCTTAAACACAACCACCAGAAACACACTTCTGTAGCAGTAGCATTCGTTGGACTGTTTTTCTCTTGTTCTATTGAGGCAATATGGGTGCATTGATTTCTGAAGTACTTGATTTTCTTGCTTGTGAGAGATATTTCAAACAGATCGCCAAGTCCGTCCGGGCCAACGGCGCTGCAGGATCTGCATCGGAGGAAAACGCAGACGACTTCCTGGGATGCCTGAACATCCCCATTAGCGTGAGCAGTCATTAAAGCGCGTACCGGAGTTACTAGCTGAGACGGGTCACAGCCGCCTTACCCTGTCTCCTTCTGATCCAGGACATTCCGGTGGAGGGCTTTGATAAGTGGTTTAAGCTGGAGCCGCGGTCCAGCTCCTCCAAAGTGCAGGGAGAATGTCATTTGGTCCTGAAGCTCTTCAACAGCCAGGTACCCACGACTCTCGGTGGCCTAACTGTGGCCGTACGTAACTCTTCTGCAGGTCATCGCTCACTTTTTTGCGAAGCAGGACCAACAAATTGCTTTGTGACTTTACATTTCTACAGAGAGATACAACTTTGAGTACGATGGAGTCTAACCTGGCTATCCACGAGAAGATCTTGAGCCAAATTTTGGAATATGAACACAATAAAGTTCAGGTAAACTACGTTATTACCGGTCTGTGATTACAGAACGAAATTAATGAAAGCCTACTTGGTTCATGTATATTTTTCTCTACAGACGGAACCCTATAAATGGACAGGGCAAGTATGTAAAACAGCGTGGACCGTGCTCTCCCACCATGCCCTGCACACCGGCCTGACGCGTCTGCAGAAGGCCATCATGTATGTTCTTCTGAAATATAGCTGAAAAATGGAATGTCTGTATGACATATATATATATATAGACATTTTATCATTATCATACATATGGAACGCCAATATATATATATATATATAGACATTTTATCATTATCATACATATGGAACGCCATATAAATAATAAATATATCTATAAATAAATAAATGTTTCAATAATTAATTACATGTGCCATTTTGTTTTAAAATAATAACAATATTATTGTATGCGATTGCTTAAATAATTTGAATTACGTTTCACAATAATGTTCAACTTTTCATTTTGAGTAATATGCTTGTTCCATACATACCAGCTACATTGCTGGGGATCTTTAAGGCCAAAATGAGTCAACGCCTTCTGGACGTTAATGTCCCGCTGGCTGATGATCATTCCCTGCTCATGTTCCTGTGGCCCGCAGACGATGGCTTTGCTACAGCAAGCACCACCGCTCGCAGAGCATGTGTTACGCCTCCCTCCTGGAGCTCCTGAAGGACGTCGAGAAGGCGTGGGATGCCCCAGTCTTAGAGAGGCAACTGGTCAGCAATTCCGTGAAACCTCCCTTCTGGTTCTACGTGTCTGTGTCCAGAGGCTAAATTACCCTTAGTCTCTTGAGGAAGATAATTCAGACACAGACATAATTACCACTAATGGCTGTCATGCCCACTAAGGCTCACTTAGACCAACGATACGTGAGTTAAGACATGGGACTCAATCCACACATTTCTTCCATTGTCTGCAGAGGTCAAAATCACTCTTATCAAACAAAATATTTTTTCTAGTAAAATTGGCCATAATTATATCTTTTTTCTACAATTTATAGTTAAAAATTTCGCAATACATTCATTATAAGAGATGTATACACCATGAATCTCACTCTCTTATCATGAATGTCACTCTCTTATCATGAATCTCACTCTTATGAAGCTCACTCTCATCACAGTTAAGGGAATCAGTACTGAATATATAATTTTGAGAAAGTGAAAAAAGAGACAATGTAACATATAAAATGATTTAAACACCTAATTTTAATCTACCTACTATTGTTCACTATGTGTTATTATGACATACATACATACATACATATATATTACATATTATATTATTTCTTAAAGTTAAAAAGGCAATATATCAAATTCAGGAGTATGTGTAAGGAACTACTCATCTATAAACAAGCTGTTCAGCTAAAACTGAATTATCTTCTTTTGTAACTGACTTAGTAAATGAGACTGAGGGCCCAGCAAGCAGAAATGCCATTTCAGTGTATTAAATGTGACATGGAAACGCACATTCACCACAAACACTGAGGTGTTACTTCTGGGATTTTTGCAGGAGAGGAGCCTATCAGAGAGTTTCCGGCTGCACACAGATTATTGTCTGTCCCTGCTGAAGCGTCTGCGTAAGCTTTTCCCCGTCTGCAGCTCTGCAGCCGTGTCTCATTGCGGCCTCCTGCTGAGGTAAACTGAAGCCACGACCTTTGTTAGTGTGACAATATAGCAGCAGGACTAAATAACATCTAACAAAACATCTGTGACTGGGTGGGAATGTCGATTTCACAGCAGAAATATTATGCGATTCCAATGCATTCACTTGCGGAATTAATCGTTGGAACAGATGTTTGTTATTAATGCATCAGTCCAATGCATTTGAGATCAGAATTGTTCATCACATTCAATCGGATGTGAGACAGGGAAATTATGTCTTGGTGCTTCTTAGTTAACTTTGTGTTGTCAAAATAGATAGATTTATTTAATTTTTAAAAGAAATGTTATTAGCCAACCCATTTCATCAGCATTACTCAGTATTCTGTACCTTGCAGAAGCTGCTTATAAGAGCAGAGTTAATATCCCTGCTGTGCAGGAAGCAGAAAGGATGGGAACCTGCAGTTTTCTGATTTGCATACGTTTCTCATGAAAGGTAGTTTGGTAAAGCTGACCTGCAGTATATTAAGGATGCAAAATAACATAAGTTAGAATTTATAAGATGTTTGTTAGAGTTCAGGGAGGTTAGTACTCACACCTCTGGAAGTCTCTGCCATGGCTCCATGTGAGTGGAGTTTGCA